GAGCCAGAAAGCTTCGGAAGAAAAAGAAGCAGCAGAAGAATCAGGGAAGAAGAAGAAGAAGAAGAAGAAGAAGAAGAAGAAGAAGAAGAAGAAGAAGAAGAAAAAGAAGAAGAAATAGAAGAAGAAGGAGGAGGAGGAGAGCGTAGGACGACATAAATCCATTCATAGCAATGCGCTACCATGGACTGGGGTACGCGTACATGACTTTTACATACTCAAAGGGGGCGATGACTTGTAAAAGAGTAAGGGGGGAAGGGAGGACGAGGGAGAAAGAGAAAGGATGAGAGAAAGAGAGAGAAAAAGAGAAACTGAGAGAGGGAGAGGGTGACACAGACTGAGAGAGGGAGAGAGAGACAGAGACTGAGGGAGGGAGGGAGAGAGATAGGGAGGGAGTGAGGGAGAGGGAGGAAGGGAGATAGATAGGGAAGGAGTGAGGGAGTGAGGAAGAGGGAGAGGGAGGGCGAGGGAGAAAGAGAAAGAGTGAAAAAGAGAAAGAGAAAGAGTGAAAAAGAGAAAGAGAGAGAGAGAAAGAGAAACTGAGAGAGGGTGAGGGTGACAGAGACTGAGAGAGGGAGAGAGAGAGGGAGTGAGGGAGAGAGATAGGGAAGGAGTGAGGGAGTGAGGGAGAGGGAGAAAGAGAAAGAGAGAAAAAGAGAAAGAGAAACTGAGAGAGGGAGAGAGAGAGGGGAGGGAGAGAGATAGAGAGGGAGTGAGGGAGAGGGAGGGAGAGAGGGAGAGGGAGAGGGAGAGGAAGAGAGAGAGCAGAAGGCGGAGAGAGAGAGGGGAGGGAAGAGAGGGAGAGGGAGGGAGAGAGGGAGAGGAAGAGAGAGAGAGGGAGAGGAAGAGAGAGAGAGGGAGATGAAGAGGAGAGGGAAGAGAGAGAGAGAGAGAGAGAGAGAGAGAGAGAGAGAGAGAGAGAGAGAGAGAGAGAGAGAGAGAGAGAGAGAGAGAGAGAGAGAGAGAGAGAGAGAGAGAGAGAAACAAATTAGGAGATAGATACGGACACAACTATCTCACGCCCACAAGCAGCAATCAACGTATCCACAACAAAGGCACCCACAAACGAACACACACATCTCCACGGCCTCCCCTGCGGCAATGGCACAGTCAAAGTTACCGCTCCCTCCCTCCCTCCCTTCCTTCCTAGCCGATCTCCCCTCCCTCCCTCCCTCCCTCCCTCCCTTACTACCAGCTTCCCCCTCCCTCCATCCCTTCCTCGCCCTTACCCGCTTACCCCTCCCTCATCCCTACCCCGTCATGATGTCCAGGAACCGCCATGCAAAAGGCTGTCACTGAGAGGGCGGGATGTGAACTACCACCCGAGTACACACAAACACGTACACGCATGTATATAGACAGATATACACAGCCACAACCAGGTAGACACACAGTGCACCTATAAACACCTCCAAACACGCACATGTGCCCGTCACCCACCCTTCAACACGCAAACGCACCCTAACTCTTGCCATCGTCCTCTAGCGAGTTCCTCCCCACCCCCCTCTCTCTCTTCTACACCCCACCAGCAGCCTCGCCAAGCATGTTGAGACACGTATGGAGAAAGTTCACGACGGGGATTTAAAGTCGCCGCCGCCGCTCGATAGCGCTGCCCGCCAACGGCGCCGCCGCCGCCGCCTCCCCTGCCATCGCACAGGGGCCGCCCCACGGAACCCCGCCCTTCCCTCTTAATTTGGCTTCGAAAGAGGCGGCGCTAATCGTCACACATGGAAGGAGGTGATTAGGAGAGACTGGGATGGTGGAGAAAGGGTGCGCAAAATATATATATAATAAACAATAGTAATAACAACAATAATAATTACATCATAAAAATCGCAGTGACAAAAATATTAACAAAACACAAACAACAATAATAGCCACAAACACGAAACAACATCATCATCACCATCATCATTACTACTCATCCGGGCCGCTTACGGGGAGAGTGAACGATGCGTGAGGGGGGGTGGGGGTGGAAGGGGGTAATGATGAGTGTGCGTGACATAATTATGGTAGTAATCATAATGCCACAAGATGAACAGTAAGAATCCTTGCCATCGTCGTCAACAAATGATTCTAAAAAGGGTTTAGCGAGATATGGTGTGAGGAAATATCAAAGGCTCACACGGTTTGCCAAACAGGTAATTGGTAAATTGCGAGATAGATAATGGGGAGCGGAAGGGAAGGAGGAACATGGTATGAGGCAGGGAAGAAGGAAGGGAGATCAGGTAGGGAGAAGGAAGGAGAAACAAGAGAGAGAGACAGTAATGGGAGGGACGAAAAGGAAACATACATACATGCATATATAAAACATATGTACACACATACAGAAAGAGACTTACAAGACACAACAGAAATAGAAAGAAACAAACAAACAAAACCCACACATATAAATATAAAGAAAAGAGAAAACTCTAGGTTTCCCAAACAATTTGAGATCCACCAACCTGAGGCCCTTTGGTATCACCTGTTGAATTCAAACAACTATCCAGATGAAAAAGGAGCATAAGATAAAAAACCTGGGAAGTTCTAAGTTAAGGAATGCTGTTACGCCATCCTTCATGGACATGCCTGCTGCCTGAAAATCTGTATTTATGATGTATGAGTGGATGTTTGTTGATACTTTGACACAGGCCCATCTACATGCATATGAATTAACAAATAATTGCTTAAAAATACAATACTGGCATTAACATCCACGATAAGTCAGGTTACCCTATTCTCATTTACACAAAACAACTATGAAGAGGTCACAATCACATTCTTTAGATGTACATATAAAAAAAAAGAGACAACTGATTGGCATTTGCTGTCTGCTTACAATAACAGATATGAAATAAGATCTACCACAAGAATCACTCGGGTAAGAAAAAGGACTAGAAATGAAATGATGCCGCTCTTGGTATGAGAGCAAGGATAAAAGAGGAGAATGAGCTTTAAGCAATAATTTCCCAGGTTTATACTTTTTAAGCATAAGGTAAAGTTATATTGGACAAGATGCAAATACTTATAATTCCCACATCACATATGTTACCAGTACCTTACATAAAACAAGGGAGGATGAAATACGGTTATGGGAGGGAAGCAGGGGGGAAGGTAGAGAGAGGAGAGAGGAGGGGGGAGGGGGGAGGGGAGGGAGGGATGGAGAGAGGCAGGAGGGGGGAGGAAGAGGGAGAGGCAGGAGGGGGGAGGAAGAGGGAGAGGGAGAGGGAGAGGGAGAGGGAGAGGGAGAGGAGAGGGAGAGGAGAGGGAGGGAGGGAGGGAGGAGGAGAGAGAGAGAGAGAGAGAGAGAGAGAGAGAGAGAGAGAGAGAGAGAGAGAGAGAGAGAGAGAGAGAGAGAGAGGGAGAGAGAGAGAATTAGTATAGTTAAAGGAGTTAAAAAGAATAATCTCCTCTCCTACACATGTTCTGCATACTTAAGCTGCTTAGACCTCGAGGGAAGAAAACAATATGTACAGGAAGATGATTTGGTATAATTATGGGCTCTGAAAATTGATACGGGGTATAAATAATTGCACCCTTCAGTAACAAATTTCCTTTCAAATTAATCTTAAATTTGAGTTAAGTTCAACAATGTCATTGCCTGGTAAGCTGTAAATTTGACAAATGAAAATATCATGAAAATTAAACATAAATGTACATATAAGATCAAATTTGACTAGACGTCACTGCTAAAAAAAATGCGTACCAAACTCAAGAAACAAAGTCTGACACAGATACTGACAGGAGGCTCTCTCAACCATTCATAAAATCACCAGTGGAGAAAATCAAGATGGAGCTGACTACAACTGATTCTAAAATAAATCTCTACTATAACACATATATTTATACCCCTCCATAAATAAAGACCATGACAGCTCAAACCAGCAACAAAATAAATACTTTCAGTAAAATGTATTTCATTCCCTACCCCCAAATTTTAGAAGCCTTTCCTCCTTTCACTATTTCCTGCTGTAAAACTATAACATGAACTTTAACACAGAATAGATATTGGTCAATAAAGAAAATAGAGTGCAACAAACAAATGTTAACACTGCTGTAAGCTCAACATAATATTCTGTATGTGTGGTAATTTATACATAATTATCTAACTGGAATATATCTGGCTCATAAATTAAAGCAGCAATAGCTCGAGTCCTCGAAGGTGTAACAGTCAATTTTATCGAGGGCTTTCAATCAGGAATTACTGTTTTTCGGGTTGATTTGGATAAAATTAATACTTTCAATAAAGGCACTAGGGGGTGTCTTAGATATATTTATACATTTCTAATTATAATCATAAAATTTAAAACACTAACACAAACAATTAAATTATCAAAATAAAGTAATCAAAATCATAAAGTTAACAAAAAAACAAAATTGGATTGTTTCACCACATATACAATATATGGTTGATTCATCTTTTTCAAATTTATAGATAAAAATACAAGAAGCACTGTGACAAATGACATTTCCCCATTATGTTATACTAAGATTTTTAAAAAAATGTAAATGATAATATTCAACACTGACATGCATCTCAATCTCTCCCCAAAATTTAGTGTCAAGTTATCTATAAAATCACACATATAAACCAGAACATATTAGCCAGTTACAAAGCCACTATAATTCAAATGAGAGAATGTGAGTAAATTACAGCCTGGAATATGACTACCAATATTCTTCATTCACTCCTCAGTTTCCAAAATCGAATACTCTATCCATAACGAACACTTCCACTTCAGGACGAACCCCACTGTTTACACGTCCAATCCCAAACAAACAAACAAACCTTCTCTGACATGTCACATACACAGGGGTACCGGAACGAGGCACATTTTCCCCACGCCTGGAACAAGGTATTTACAGGGCATGAGAACCTCGAGCATAGGCCTACATCTCCGCCTGTGAAACGTTTCAATCCTGTCGTTCAATGCAGACGGCAGAGACAAACATGCCTCACATGTCCACTAACAAACACCTTGTCTTCCTCCCCGTTAACGTGTCTTTCCTCCTGAACTCAC